ACCCAGATACACACCTGGTACACACCAGATACACACATGGTACACACCAGATACACAATTGGTACACACCAGATACACACCTGGTATATACCCAGATACACACCTGGTACACACCAGATACACACCAGGTACACACCATATCTACAACTGGTATATACCCAGAATTCACACCAGGTATATACTCAGATACACACCTGGTACATACCCATATACACACCTGGTATATACCCAGATACACACCTGGTACATACCAGATACACATCTAGTATATACCCAGATACACACCTGGTACACACCAGATACACACCAGGTACACACCATATCTACAACTGGTATATACCCAGAATTCACACCAGGTATATACTCAGATACACACCTGGTACATACCCATATACACACCTGGTATATACCCAGATACACACCTGGTACATACCAGATACACATCTAGTATATACCCAGATACACACCTGGTACACACCAGATACACACCATATATACAACTGGTACATACCAGATACACACCAGGTATATACTCAGATACACACCTGGTACATACCCATATACATACCTGGTATATACCCAGATACACAACTGGTACATACCAGATACACACCTAGTATATACCCAGATACACAACTGGTACATACCAGATACACACCAGGTATATACTCAGATACACACCTGGTATGTACTGGTGAGCACCAGGTACATACCTGGTACCTACCTGGTATTTAGCAGCTGTTTTATGTCGTACTGACATCTGGACTCTGACCAGTCTTTACTTAACTTAGATTTTCTAATAAAATGTTGAAAATGTTTAATTTTAGAGACAGATTTCCTGCCTGTCACAGCCTTCCACTGATGATGTTTTTTTTGTTTTTGTTTTGTATTGATTTTATATTTAGCTGGTGGTTTTCTGTCCCTCACTGCTGCTCCTGAAGGARTAAATCAAAGATGGCTCCTGCAGCAGCTCAGCCACATGAATCCTGACGGCTCTGTTGGGATCCAACAGTTTGTTCTGCCGGATCTGCTCCAGGTAATTTATTGACTTTTTGTCAAATTAGCTCTTCAATCAGCCTCTGCCAGCTGATTCCCTCTGACGGCTGCAGTTTGTCTCGGCCCTGCAGGAGTCATTAGGTGCTCAGTATCTTTAATGACTTCACCTGATCTCAAACCGTCTCAAAGATACTGAACACACATTTCTGAAACCAGAACCAGTTTGTCAGTTGACCAAGAAACTTTGTTGCCACAGAAGCAGCAGGACTCTTAGGAGGAGGAGGAAGAGGAGCAAACAGAGGTCAGAACTGTTCTCTCACCGAGAAGAGGCGCCGTTTGAAGCTCCTTCAATTAGAAAAAGAGACGCAGCGCACATTTAGCATCGTTAGCCAACAAATCATCAGGGCCTGTTTTACTAATAACATTCAGGTCAGATTATTCAACTTTAAAATACAAACATACAAAATGTAGCCCAGGATGTTTAAACATGACAGGAAAGAAAAATATAAGAGCTGAAMAGAGATATTTGTGTATTAGAAATTTATTTTGGGAGTAAAAAACTAACTCATAAAAGGATCTGCAACAGAAGCTGTAAAATACTAAGAGACATTATGATGAAGACATAAATCCAGCTTCAGCTTCACTTCCTGTTTCTGAATCGATCTGAAGGTTTTATTCATTGATTCATTCATTCATTCATTCATTCATTCA